GGTGCTCGAATGCCTGTAAAACTATTGTTACTATATAACTCGAATAGTCCCTAGCCAGAGAGAGATAGAAAGAGAGGGAGAGAGCAGAGGGAAGGAAATAAAAGGACAAACGTCTGGTTGGGCGAGCTGCTGCTGCTGCCACGTGAAAGTGGACGACGACTTTCGTGATCGCGGGCCACGTGATCCAGCCGCGACACAAGGGCGGCGAGGGACGAAGAATCCCGCGGAATCGGCACCCGCGATCTCGTCTGGCCTCGATCGTTTTACGCTGAGATCGAAAAAAAAGAAAAAGAAAACTGGCTGATACGAATTTGTGCAACGGGCCCGACCGTCGGCCGTACGATCGATACGATCGGAGTCGTGGAAGTCAATGGCTTTAATTGGCGGCTACGATAACGCGTGTCATTTGCTATTACGTAAATACTTGGCGTTAGAACCGCGAAGATCGAAACTAAAATCATTTATACGCGTGATCGAACCGAGTTCACGCAAATTTCGGGATACGAAAATCTCGAGAAAAGATTTCCTAAAGTCGCATTTTCATCATTTCCTTCTATTGACTGACTTAAAACTATAGTTCGGAAACAGAATCATCGACAAAAGTGACGTTCAGACAAAGTGGTGGAAGGAAAACTTGCTACTTGCACGACCGACTCATCGAATACTGATTCGTTGAGAATTGTATTTTGGGAATATGTCTGTTATAGATTTTCCATTCGATTGAAAATTTGTAAATAAATATGGGAATGATTCCTTATGGTAAAATAAGATGAAAATGTAGAATGAAATTTGTTCTTAGGATCGAATACAATTTCGCTGGCGCGTCTGTTCATTACTCGCTGTTTCTACTCGTACCGATGTCCAACTAGAAACTTCAGAAAAGAAGCCGCACTTCAAAAATGGTCGTAAATGTTCGTATAAAAATATTTCCATAGCGCCAACGTATATTATACGAAACGTCCAAGACCTACAAATTGTTCTATACGGTAAATAAACCCCTAACCCAGACCGATTCCGGGCGTCAGTTTATTGTCAGAGGATAGTATCATAAGTACCGAATCCGTCATTTTAAGTTACTGTCTTTCGAAGACTGCGCGTACTCGAACGCTAGTTTGTAAGAATTCGTAGTAACTTATATATTTCTATCTAAATCTTTTTGATTTTTTTGATTTCGTCAACCTTGAAAGCTGCAATCACCTACGCCAGTATTTAAACACATGTTTACTGCGGACGCGATAACAACATTAAAAGTTAATAAAACTTAATACAAAAATTATCTTGTATTCCCAAAGGATAGCTAAGTAAACTGCAAAAAAGAATTATAACGTCAGATGTAACATTTCCTCAACACTAGATTTACGGGCATTGATCGCACGTATATTTATTGATACCTTTCATGTTGACGATTACCATAAAATACGATTTTTCTTTTAATTAGAATATGTATTCAAGCCATTGCATCAAGCAAATTCAACATAAGTTGTTAAAAAATAATATTTACGCGTTCTGCAATTTTAAATATGGAATCTAACATCCGCCAAATTAGCAGCTTTCGTAAATCTAGTGTTAAAAAAAATTAAGAAAAATGGTTCAATTTTCTATCATTCACATAAGACTCCCCCCTTGAGTGTTTCTTCCGAATCGCATCCATTTCTCTAATCAATTAAGTTAAACGACGTTTGGTAAGGTTAGTGTTCACAGTTGACGCGGATAACTATCTAAGGGGAGGTTATGAGTTGTCAACCTGGGATTTGAACCAAATTTGGCAGAGTTGTAGGGGCCGATGTCCAAATGTAATCTGTAAAATACTAGACGTTCATGGCCAGCCATTTTTGAAAAAAATGATTTTAAAGTTTAAAATTTCCAAGTTGTCGGATCGAATTCGTTTTTTTTTAAATTTCAGGTCTCGACGAGAGGAACAGAAAAGTCCAATACATTTTTGCCGTACCATCAATAGTTTAGCCAAAGATTTGAGTTTTTTGTAACGGGATAGATGCATATGTACCGTGTAGTTTGCAGGTGTTTTTGACAGCCGTGGTAGCCGTGGAGTTAAAGTCAAAGAATTCGAACCGGAAAACCGGCGTTCGTATCTCCGGAATTGATGCATTTTGTCCTTTTTTCTTTTTTTCGCTTATTTTTTAATTTTTATTTATTTTCAATTTTAATTTTTAATATTATGAAAATAGTTGACTGTTACAAATAAATAAAATACATTTTTCAAAAATAATTGATAGGTATCAGATTCCAATTTCCCTGACTTTGTGCAAGTAATGTGCACATTGCCTGATTCCTCTTCTTGTTTTCGAACATCTGCAGCCACCTTTGATCCAAAAGTTCCTCCAACTTCTTACAGACACAATAATATTTTTGGCAAAATTTTTCCCGAATAAATTAACGCATACTGCGCTGTATGTCATAAAAAAGAAATATTTTGTAACGCGAATGAGATATGTTTTCCACACAGCCTAAAATATAGAAAATGCTGTACAGAACAAGCATTTATAACATTATAACATGCTCTTGGTGTATGAAACCATTTTGTTTTCCTTGCTTTTATGATAAAAATCATACAATGCATTGTGAAACTGATATGAAATAATTATCTATTTTCTTTATTTATTTATACGTGACATGTAAATATATGTGTAAATAAACATTTATAACCATAACAGTATTTTATTTATTTGTAACAGCCAACTATTTTCATAATATTAAAAATTAAAATTGAAAAATAAGCGAAAAAAAGAAAAAAAAACAAAATGCACTTAATTCCGGGGACACAAACCCCAGTCTTTCGGACAGAAATCTTTGACTTTAACTCCACGGCTACCACGGCTGTCAAAAACACCTGCAAACTACACGGTACATATGCATCTATCCCGTTACAAAAAACTCAAATCTTTGGCTAAACTATTGATGGTACGGCAAAAATGTATTGGACTTTTCTGTTCCTCTCGTCGAGACCTGAAATTTAAAAAAAAACGAATTCGATCCGACAACTTGGAAATTTTAAACTTTAAAATCATTTTTTTCAAAAATGGCTGGCCATGAACGTCTAGTATTTTACAGATTACATTTGGACATCGGCCCCTACAACTCTGCCAAATTTGGTTCAAATCCCAGGTTGACAACTCATAACCTCCCCTTAGATAGTTATCCGCGTCAACTGTGAACACTAACCTTACCAAACGTCGTTTAACTTAATTGATTAGAGAAATGGATGCGATTCGGAAGAAACACTCAAGGGGGGAGTCTTATGTGAATGATAGAAAATTGAACCATTTTTCTTAATTTTTTTTAACACTAGATTTACGAAAGCTGCTAATTTGGCGGATGTTAGATTCCATATTTAAAATTGCAGAACGCGTAAATATTATTTTTTAACAACTTATGTTGAATTTGCTTGATGCAATGGCTTGAATACATATTCTAATTAAAAGAAAAATCGTATTTTATGGTAATCGTCAACATGAAAGGTATCAATAAATATACGTGCGATCAATGCCCGTAAATCTAGTGTTGAGGAAATGTTACATCTGACGTTATAATTCTTTTTTGCAGTTTACTTAGCTATCCTTTGGGAATACAAGATAATTTTTGTATTAAGTTTTATTAACTTTTAATGTTGTTATCACGTGATTGTGATCATACTCATCAATCTCAGCTCTATACAGAATTCCTTCCAGAATATTGCCACGTAGATGACAAAAACGCTCAAATTTCAACTTTTAATAACAGCAGATGTCTATTGACCCAGTCGTAAACCTTTCAAAACAGTAATATCTGGTCTGTACAAGATAATCACCCGAAGCAATGACTTCGGTAATTATCGCGAGGGCTATACAAAAAATGTTCTACAGTCCACAATACTTGACATTTATCTTTAAAAATTTAACAGTACATTCTTAAATATATATACTTTCAAAAAATGAAGCGAAAAAAAATTGATATTTTCGAGGTCTCACATGAGACTCACCCCTTAAACCATACGAAATTTTAAATAGAAATACATATATGTATAGGTTACTACGAACTCTTAGAAACTAGCGTTCGAGTACGCGCAGTCTTCGAAAGAGCGTAACTTAAAATGACGGATTCGGTACTCATGATACTATCCTCTGACAATAAACTGACGCACGGAATCGGTCTTTCGGCGTCCCATCGCGAAACACAAAACAAACCTCCGGAAGCGACGGGCTGCAACAACTACCGGCGCAAGCCAAAAGGTCTTTGTACTTTCTCAATAGATCGTCCAAGAGACGAAGAACAGTAACGATCGATCTCGATCAACAGTGAGCGCGACTAGTTCGATTATTATCTCATGGAATCGCAACGCGACGGTTTCTTTGCTATTGGAGTACACACGCGGTCGAGCGCTACATGCGTGGTCGACCACGTGACCCGCGAGCTCATAAGGTCAGCTGACGAGCTGACAACAACGGAGCTGTCGAGCGAGTATTGGTCGTTTCTCGTTCGCTGGTTAACTTAGCATCGAGTCGACCGAAAAAACGCACACCAGTTGTACGAAATATGGAAACGCGCGAAACTCGCGTATCGCTACGACGACCTCCATTGTTCTCGAACGAATTCGAGTGTGTCTGGAAAAATTCCCGCCAATCGTACGCGTGCGATTTACATGAATACGCGATGTGGAATCGAACTCGTTCGAACGGATCGAGCACGGTTCGTTAAGAATGGCGCAAAGGGTTTCTTTGTATGCGGCTAAACAGCAAGCGACGCGAACAAGTCGAGACAGTTTACATGGTAGGTAAGCGACGAGTGAAAACGCGGCCTGACAACCAACGACGCCCAATCACCTGTCAAGCAACGTGGCGGCCGGCTAAAAGCACGCCGTCCGAGAAACCCGTTTTCCGGGTAACTCGTCGCGGCGCACGACAAATACGATTTAACACGCGTCGCGCGGGCACACGATCGCGCGTAGGGACGAAAAGAAAGCTGCGTGACGGTAAGAAAATGGAATCACGTTGATTACGACTCACGTTTCAGCGGTTTCGGGTTGCTCTGCTTGCGGCGTGACATCCTCTACGTTCTGCCATCACCAAGTCATCGTCAACATCGTGCTTGGCATCGTCTAAGGTACGCCGCAAGAAGACGAAGATCGGTCGTCCCGGATCGTCGTGTCGTCGTCGACATATAACAAATAACACAGCACACGCAACGAAAATAGTGTCAGACGGAACAGGTTGGTACGAAAGACAATAAAAGCGAATCGAACGTGGAGTAAAGGACAAAAAAAAATAAAGCGAAGAACAGCGGAAATAACACTTCGAGGCACAAAACGTTTCCCGATCACCGGACAATGTACGTCGCTTGCGATCGCCTTCCCTTCCGTCGTACGGTTTCGGGCGGTTCGAAGCGTTCTTTTTTCTTCTTACTCGCGTTTACGGCCGGTTCTCGCGTTTTCCACGCACGAGTGCCGACGGAGAACGCATACACGCACCACGACAGCTCGTACCGCGGCCGCTGTCAGCGAGCAACTAAACAAACGCGATATACCAAACAACCCCCACTCCCGCGAACGCAGCGTGACTACGTGAAACGGAGTGGGGATACTAGAGAGGTGTCAAGCTCCGCCCACAACGCGCGGTCGCTTTTCGAACGCGGGGAATTTTAAACTGTACGCTTACCGGCCGACAGTACTACCTAACTCCCAGATGGCGATACTGTGCCACATCGATCGTCTGTTCAGAATCCGTGACAACTATATATAAACACTTTGTACGATATTAAAGAAACAATAATTAAGCATTGTTATTATTCTTGTAGAATCTCTCACATCATATTAAATATAATAACCAATATTACAGTCTAACAAACGTTACGAAAAGATACTCGAATCAGAAAAGATAGAATCGATTGATTCTTCGATCGATATGTTACATAGTCTACTTTATGAAATGGCTATTTCGCGAAAAAGAATCAAATGTTATGAATAACGATGATAACGATTAATCGATGAATTTTGGGTGTTCTCTAAACGACATCTGCGGTACTGACACCACAGCTCTATGTTCCAGTTTGGTAATCGAAATAGAATTTAGTACAGATTATCGAGACTAGATATTAACGTCATCTTGCGTACCTACAGACGAGATATGCAAGTAAATTCGCAACGTTACCGACAGGTTATAGAAAAAGATCATAACGCTTATTATGGCAGCAAATGAAAAAACACAATTTGTTTTGTTTTTTAACAGAATGAAAACTGTACACACAGACAAGGTATCCGAGTAAACCTTTCACCACAGACGAGGTATATGAGTAGCGCTTCACTCAATGTATTTTTTCGGTCCATTTTTATGGGGCTCTAGAGCCCCATTATCATTTCGGTGTCGCTCACAATATTACCAACAGGATAAAGAAACCGACCATAGCGCTTCTTCTGGTCAGAGATGAAATTACAAAAATTCTTTTGCTTCCCAACGGAATGAAAGAAGACAGACTGCGGAGAATCACAGTTGATTCCTAGACCCTACACTGAAAATCGAACGCGAAAAAATAATCGCAACACTAAAGACAATCGCGATCAAATTTATATTATTTACAACTTGCAACGCGATTAATATTCGTATTTCGCAACGCTACTGCAAACCGAGATTAATGTTTACACGCAACTCTACCCTGGAAAAACAAACGCGAAAATTGTCATTATTCGCAACTATAAAGTTAACTATAAAATTAATTAGAACACTAATGCAAATCGCGATTTACCCCAAAATACTGATTGTTGTGATATAAGTACCATCTGAAAAACTACAACAAACTACTACAACTACAGACAAATACAGTGACAAAGTAGTAACAGAGAATGACTTTCCATCCGCATCCGAAGATGAAGATGAAGAGCCATTTGTTGTAGCCCACTCTTGAGACAATTTGTCAGGGCCTCTTCGACTCCGCAGAGCCTTTTCTCTCTTCGGCGGTCCTGCCGAAGCCTGAAACTTAATACTAGGCTCGAGATTCCGTGCAACATACAGTTCTTCAACGATTCTAGGAATCGTTATCAGAACAAATGTGACGAAACTCGAGCGGGACGAGCGTTTCGGGGAACCTACCGCGACAGAGAACGCGACCGCGAAGAGCGACTGTAAAGCCACGCGATTCAAAGAATCGAAACTAAAACCAACACAAACGGAACAATCCGTTTGGATCGGCTAACGTTTCGACTCCTCAAATCGAACTACAGGCACAGGACCTGTACAGTCCTGCCCTGACCCTAACTACTTACAACTAACACACATACCAGAAACCAAGTTACCTACCTACCTAACCCTGTATTTGAAAAATTGCAAAACTCATTCTCGCAAGCAAACACTCCACGGTTCTCACACATAATGTCCGGGCGCAAAGCCTACACTAGAGAGGATTCCCCGGGGTTCCTCCGACACCCGAACATTTCACACAACATTCACTCTCTAATGTACGTACCAATTTTCTGAAATCAACTGACAAAGCCAACTGGCCATTGCGTATTTATATTATACGTATTACGTTATTTTCATCTAGTAGAATGTTTTAAAAAATATGTTATTGTATAAATGATCGCAATCGACTTTCATTCTGTTATTTAAGATCAAGAATCTAATTGCCGTAGTTCGATTTGATTGAATATTTCATACTACAATCTTTGTGTATGTAAAAAATATGTAAATGGTGAAAGAGAATTTTTATTGTCAATTATTATGAACTTTTAAAACGACGCAATTACACAGCCTAAACACAAACACACACATGTGTAAATTGCGTCGCGCACGATACACTAGCGCAATGTCAGTCGCATATATGTATATTTTATAAACTAAATCATCGTGCACATTGCCTTCGCTCACGCAAGGAGCATCTGGGCACTTGGGTGAGTTTAGGCAATGAACACGGAAAGGTAACCTGAAAATCCTCGACTAAAAAAATGATTATAGTGAATACTAACGAATAACGAAATAGTATTTATTTATTTATTTCTTTTACTGGACTTTCTATTTGTAACAAATGAGGAACAAACGATTAATGTACATTAATAATGAAAAATATTATTAGCGAGAAAAATTATTATGATTAAAATTGAATTATACATATAAGAGAAAATACTTTAATCAAGACTTTACGATAAAATACTTTACTTTGAAAATTGAAGATAAATTATTGAAGGATACTAATTAAAATATTCAACCCTCGGGCAATTCTGTCATCAAAGCATATTTTTTAGAAATGAAAATAGTACATATTGCATGACTCAAGAATTTATCCGTCGCGAAATGTTTTCTTGTGCATAAATTAAAACATATTTTTCAATATGTAAGGGAAGGCTTTTCTATCTTTGATACAACGTTATTAAATTATATTTACACGCGAGACACAAACAATATAAAAAAACAATCAATATTCAAAATTATATATTCAATAATCATTATTATAATAAATCCAGTTAAGTTAGTACAATAATTTAATGAAGTAAAATATAATTTATCATACTATGGAGCATTCACTTGTCTAATTAGAAATCGCGGAGCACAAGAAGACCCTAGCCTACACTAAAAAAAATATAACAGTACATGTTACTACTCACGGGTATGATTCATACCCGTGGTCACTGTATTTGTCAAAGATTGCACGTATACAACTGGTCACCCGCGTCGATTCGGACCTTTTTGTCCTACGACGTGATTGGGGACCAGAGGAATAAAAATTGGCATGCAACTCACCAATTGTAGAATGCAAGCACCCTTGCGACGATGTTGGCTAGTAGGAGTCATCAGCGAAGTCATCACCGAAATCAGCAACGTAGTCAGCAGCGAAGTCGTCCAAGAGGTTCCTGGATACGTAAGTAGGTACGTTGATGGGATGTTAGGATCCTATAAAAAGAAATAGCAAATATAACACGTGGTGTGAGGGAGTCACGTACCCCGTCTCGATTCTCGATGTTTTTTGTGAAATGTTGCTACATTAAATCTTCAATATTAGGAAACATTTTTTTATTAAAATTAAAATCTCTACAATTTAAGAAATAGAGTGTTATATTTGCTATTTCTTTTTATAGGATCCTAACATCCCATCAACGTACCTACTTACGTATCCAGGAACCTCTTGGACGACTTCGCTGCTGACTACGTTGCTGATTTCGGTGATGACTTCGCTGATGACTCCTACTAGCCAACATCGTCGCAAGGGTGCTTGCATTCTACAATTGGTGAGTTGCATGCCAATTTTTATTCCTCTGGTCCCCAATCACGTCGTAGGACAAAAAGGTCCGAATCGACGCGGGTGACCAGTTGTATACGTGCAATCTTTGACAAATACAGTGACCACGGGTATGAATCATACCCGTGAGTAGTAACATGTACTGTTATATTTTTTTTAGTGTAGGCTAGGGTCTTCTTGTGCTCCGCGATTTCTAATTAGACAAGTGAATGCTCCATAGTATGATAAATTATATTTTACTTCATTAAATTATTGTACTAACTTAACTGGATTTATTATAATAATGATTATTGAATATATAATTTTGAATATTGATTGTTTTTTTATATTGTTTGTGTCTCGCGTGTAAATATAATTTAATAACGTTGTATCAAAGATAGAAAAGCCTTCCCTTACATATTGAAAAATATGTTTTAATTTATGCACAAGAAAACATTTCGCGACGGATAAATTCTTGAGTCATGCAATATGTACTATTTTCATTTCTAAAAAATATGCTTTGATGACAGAATTGCCCGAGGGTTGAATATTTTAATTAGTATCCTTCAATAATTTATCTTCAATTTTCAAAGTAAAGTATTTTATCGTAAAGTCTTGATTAAAGTATTTTCTCTTATATGTATAATTCAATTTTAATCATAATAATTTTTCTCGCTAATAATATTTTTCATTATTAATGTACATTAATCGTTTGTTCCTCATTTGTTACAAATAGAAAGTCCAGTAAAAGAAATAAATAAATAAATACTATTTCGTTATTCGTTAGTATTCACTATAATCATTTTTTTAGTCGAGGATTTTCAGGTTACCTTTCCGTGTTCATTGCCTAAACTCACCCAAGTGCCCAGGTGCTCCTTGCGTGAGCGAAGGCAATGTGCACGATGATTTAGTTTATAAAATATACATATATGCGACTGACATTGCGCTAGTGTATCGTGCGCGACGCAATTTACACATGTGTGTGTTTGTGTTTAGGCTGTGTAATTGCGTCGTTTTAAAAGTTCATAATAATTGACAATAAAAATTCTCTTTCACCATTTACATATTTTTTACATACACAAAGATTGTAGTATGAAATATTCAATCAAATCGAACTACGGCAATTAGATTCTTGATCTTAAATAACAGAATGAAAGTCGATTGCGATCATTTATACAATAACATATTTTTTAAAACATTCTACTAGATGAAAATAACGTAATACGTATAATATAAATACGCAATGGCCAGTTGGCTTTGTCAGTTGATTTCAGAAAATTGGTACGTACATTAGAGAGTGAATGTTGTGTGAAATGTTCGGGTGTCGGAGGAACCCCGGGGAATCCTCTCTAGTGTAGGCTTTGCGCCCGGACATTATGTGTGAGAACCGTGGAGTGTTTGCTTGCGAGAATGAGTTTTGCAATTTTTCAAATACAGGGTTAGGTAGGTAGGTAACTTGGTTTCTGGTATGTGTGTTAGTTGTAAGTAGTTAGGGTCAGGGCAGGACTGTACAGGTCCTGTGCCTGTAGTTCGATTTGAGGAGTCGAAACGTTAGCCGATCCAAACGGATTGTTCCGTTTGTGTTGGTTTTAGTTTCGATTCTTTGAATCGCGTGGCTTTACAGTCGCTCTTCGCGGTCGCGTTCTCTGTCGCGGTAGGTTCCCCGAAACGCTCGTCCCGCTCGAGTTTCGTCACATTTGTTCTGATAACGATTCCTAGAATCGTTGAAGAACTGTATGTTGCACGGAATCTCGAGCCTAGTATTAAGTTTCAGGCTTCGGCAGGACCGCCGAAGAGAGAAAAGGCTCTGCGGAGTCGAAGAGGCCCTGACAAATTGTCTCAAGAGTGGGCTACAACAAATGGCTCTTCATCTTCATCTTCGGATGCGGATGGAAAGTCATTCTCTGTTACTACTTTGTCACTGTATTTGTCTGTAGTTGTAGTAGTTTGTTGTAGTTTTTCAGATGGTACTTATATCACAACAATCAGTATTTTGGGGTAAATCGCGATTTGCATTAGTGTTCTAATTAATTTTATAGTTAACTTTATAGTTGCGAATAATGACAATTTTCGCGTTTGTTTTTCCAGGGTAGAGTTGCGTGTAAACATTAATCTCGGTTTGCAGTAGCGTTGCGAAATACGAATATTAATCGCGTTGCAAGTTGTAAATAATATAAATTTGATCGCGATTGTCTTTAGTGTTGCGATTATTTTTTCGCGTTCGATTTTCAGTGTAGGGTCTAGGAATCAACTGTGATTCTCCGCAGCCTGTCTTCTTTCATTCCGTTGGGAAGCAAAAGAATTCTTGTAATTTCATCTCTGACCAGAAGAAGCGCTATGGTCGGTTTCTTTATCCTGTTGGTAATATTGTGAGCGACACCGAAATGATAATGGGGCTCTAGAGCCCCATAAAAATGGACCGAAAAAATACATTGAGTGAAGCGCTACTCATATACCTCGTCTGTGGTGAAAGGTCTATTCATATATCTCGTCTGTGGTGTCGCCATCTGGATGTTAGGTAGTACTTTCGGCTGGTAAACGTCCAGTAAGGATACCTACAAAAGAGTATTAGACAACTTTTCTGTAGGATGTCAAACAAAATTACTAGAAATCGAAAACAAATTTTTAAGGAAAATCGACAGGGGGTAGGTGCCTAAATTTTTCGGCGAAATTGAAAAGTTTCAAATCACTTTCGAAAAATTATTTTCGATTGCAGGGATCAATTACAATCATTTTTGGTCAATAGACATACCCTCGAAATTCTAACCATTTTCGAGAAAAAAACTTACCGAAAATATAATGTGTGGCCACTTGGGCAGGAATGTTTCTGTAATTTCATTGGCTGTCTACTCCTACACCTTGTCTGTCGTTCAGTCACATACCACGAGCAGACCTTACGCAGACCTTCGCGGCCCAAATTTACTGTCATACCGACCGAAAAATTGAGCGGTGATTTTAGCGTCCTTTTCTCATGAATGGCGGACTGTTGAGAAACTCACTGTACTCACACTCTACTAAAATCACAGACGAGATATATGAATAGACCTTTCACCACAGACGAGATATATGAATAGACCTTTCACCTTATGGACTTTCGCGGCCGAATCTGACTGCCATACCGACCTGAAAATTCGGAGCTGATTTTAGCGGCCTCTTCTCATGGATGGCGGTTAGTTGAGAAACTAGGCACTGAATTAGTATTGATGGGCAGCCAGCTGAGTGTGTACGTAAATACATGTGAGTTGATTATGGGAGGGATTGGAAAAGACAGTGGAGTATTATCAGACGGCAGACCCGTGCCGAAAGGGAACTGCCCCACCACTCACACACACTAATGCCAACCACCTTGTATATGAGTTCTGGCGTTTCGTATAGCTTCGTAGATTCGAGAAAGGCGGCGAATGTCAGTCTATCCTTCTTGCTCTCACCACAGCTGAAATTCGATCTCGCATATTCTCGAGCCGAGATTCTCGACTGCCTAGGCATTTTTGACTTTCTGACCTGTGTAGGCATATACAATGTATAAGCAATATACCATAATGAAGAAAAAATTACAAAAATTTGTTTTTACGGAAATACACGTTTTAAAACGATAATATTTTATGAACATATTTTAACCCTTTGCACTCGGTCGTCCCCTCTGAGGGGACATGATAGTTTATTAGTGATTAAGGAGCATGAACTGATTTCACCGCAATTTTTTAAGAAACACATGTTTTCCTGTACTTTCCTATTAAAATGGGAAATATTCTATTAAAATGAGAAATATATCAGCCGTTTTTACGTTGAAGTGGAAGGATTGTCGATGATGGTCAGAGGCGTATGGTCGGATTCAAACACGTGGACAATAAACGTAACTATATAAACTATATTATTTAATGTTTACTGAAATTATTTAACATAAAGAACATAAAACGTAAACGTAAAAAACTATAAACGTAAAATCGAAACTTCATTCAAAGTCGAACCATTCCTATTGCTATCTTCGTTATAATCTAAATAAATTAACGTTCTTTGTCGGACAATAGAATGAATAATAAGCTACATATTCCAAATGTAGACCAAAGAAACCGGGACTGCATTATTTGTTCCGACAGGAAAACACCAGGAGAAAGACGTCAAACAACATTTTATTGTGAAACATGTATAAATTAACCTATGTATATTGGGAATTGTTTCAGAATTTACCATACCATAGAAAATTATGAGAAATAAATTTTTATTTTTTATTTTCTATAGATACATCGAGGCGGCCGGCAATGAATGCGTATAACAGCTGTGCTTAAAAACTCGATTTGTGTAGCCGGCCGCCAAACGGCGGCCACGCATTCATTTTCTAATTCAATTTTCTTTATTGATATTATCAGAAGTGGGAAAGATTTCAGCCATTATTTCGACAAATTTAATTATTAGATCATTAGCATGATATTGTCGACGGAAGAAGAATTCACCTAAATAGCCTACATAATGTATTTGGCGAGTTCCATACTTCAGAAAATTCGAACCTTTGACAACAATGCAGAACTAGATTTAGCTCGACACATTATACATTATTTGTCGTCGGTTGTTATGCCGACTAATACAAACAAGAGAAAAAAGCAACGATCGTGGACTGATGCAATACAGAGCCACAGATATGTACATATAGACAGAATTCATTGTAGTAGTAGCGATCTTTTTGAAGAAAAATCTCGGAAACTAAGGCCGAGCGGCGGTTATATGTATAGGAAAAAGTTGCTCAAAATGTTGATTTCTACAACATATTCAAAAATCATCGAAATCGGTGAGACCCGGCCTTTTCTAAATAATTACCTCATTTTCTTTCAATAATTCTCCATTGCAAAAATTCTACAGTATTCTTACATTTTTTTATATTTTAAAATTTTCCCATGTTATTAGAAAGTAGATATACAACGAAAGTTATACAATTTATAGTTCCTAGCATGTATAACATGTATATGTATATAACGCATGGTCGCTTCGTATGGAAAGTCAATGAATCTTCAAAAAGCGCCCAGGTCCGATTTCGAGAAATGTAAGGTCTGTCAGTCACGATGGCTTTTGTCGTTTACTGACGATTCGAACGGTTGGCGATGCCAGGCTTGCTTTCGAGAAATGTAAACGACGTCAGCGATGCAAGAGCGAGAAGGAAAGCGAGTATCAGCCTGTTCTTCTCGGCTCTTCCGAAACTCAACGAGCTCACGTACACGCAATTGAGCATAGTGTGCGAAAGCAAGGAATGAGGAGTTTCCGGGGCCCCGATGCACAGTCTGATTAAACTGATTTCGAGTCGCAAATACGTTTCTGCCGAGTTATTTTTTTAATAAATGATGTATTACAATTTAAAATAAAAAATAGAGAATTTGCGGTGTACGTATCAATGAAATACATCCTTATGAATTTTAATAATCTTGAAATTTTTAAATACTCTTAATCGATTGATTTCTCCAATGAAATTAATCGATTAATGTCCAATGATGGACCCTACAGCTTTAATTCCGTTAAAAAATAATAAAATTTATGTAATTTTATTTTCTGTCTCACTTCCTCTTGTGTTAATTTCTGAATCTGTTGATAACGTAGCGAGTGACACGAAAATGGTAATGGGGTCCCGGGACCCCAGAAACTCCGGCCGAAAAATTACATTACGTGAGACGTCTATTCATATATCTCGTCTGTGCTAAAATCACCTCCGAATTTTCAGGTCGGTATGGCAGTTAGATTGGGCCACGAAAGTCCACAATGTGTATGGTTTACCAAATCGATATTTCAGTTCGTGTAACGCTAACTTCCATAAAATGCATAGTCTATCATTATATATCCTATACCTCGTCTGTGATAGAATACCCATTAAGTAATCGGTCGCTGCTGTATCTATGGATCAAACAGACTTGTAAGAATCGACAGCTGCCCGTGGCCTTCTAGCGGCGAGTTCTGGAAATATAATCGTTGAAAGCCGAGCGTGAACGGTTCGACACGACTTTCGGCGAGTCGATCGCGCACCGCAGTCGTGCTCGAACCGAACTGCGGGTCAGGTCGATAGGGTTTGTGCTCGTATTCGTGAAAAGTGTTTCCGATTTTCCTGACGATTTTCTCGTGCACCGTTTATCGATTGGCGCGAGGATGACGCCTCGCCGATTTCTACGCTGAACAGTATCCCACGCGAGGCACTCGACGTGAACTATCAGGATGATGCAGGAGATCACGGGCCAGTCCTCCAGGACGGTGCTCCTGAACACGTTCGTTGTCAAGAAGAAACGATGCAGGGTCTACTTTCATCGCGGCACCTTGATTTGGGAAACGGAGAAACCGCCGTATAGTAAGTACTTAGATCCGTTGTGCGTTCACGGAACGTCAGTGAAAGGATGCGGTGTAGTGGGTGGTATTCGAGCATTCGAATCAATCACGTTTCCGCATTTCTCGATGATTTCAAACAAAGGAGATACTGGCTGCAGTAGGATCGTGTTGGCGTCGAGTCTAATCCAACGTTTAAAGACGTGTTGTTGTTTGCAGAAGAATGCAGTACTAGGGAATCGGTGTTGGGGCTAGGTGGTTCGCTGTTGGGGGGTGGGGGTGTTGTGTACATGTTCTGGAAAGTGGAAAGGGTCGGGGGAGGACTGTCAATGATGCTAGGAACGTTTTCAGCTGTCAAACAACTTTGTTCAACTTTCGGTGTTTTGTTCATCGGCCAACATCCTTGCGTTACGATGGGTCTTACATTTGCTTAGAAAGTTCTAAATGACATTGTATTCTGTTTAACGAATCCTATTCCACTTTAGTTCGAATGCCCTTTCAAACTATCGCCTAAGACATCGCTCCTTCCTTCGTGAATAATTTCGCAGTACATGTTATGGTCGCTCTGATTGTCCCAAACGCAGTTTTTTTTATTTTCAATATACATAGTGATTCTCTGGTCTTTCGTTTTAGTTCACTCGATAGCTTTTAAGCGTAAACTATAAACGTGTTTCACGTTTCGTTAAGTTTTTATTATTACTACTGTATCTTATATGTGTAATAAGTACTATTATTATTGTTGTCTGTATAGTAGTTGCATGCCAAGCACGCACATTTTATCGATCGAACGCTGCTACTGTATCCGTGTTTAGGAGTATACATTTCTGTTAACAGTTTCTTTTAATAAGAGAGGCTAATAATCAAGATTAACTTCGTAAAGTAGAAACCTGATCAGAACTCGATCAGAATGTCAGTTGCAGCTATCGCAAAGTTTGCATAATTTTATTAGAACCTTTGGGCGGTAGATTTTCCCCCGCATTCCCTAGAAACTCGTTCCACGAAGTTTGTTAGGTTTCCCGCGTTGCACGCTCTAATTATCAAACTGGAACGCTGATTCGTAGTCCAATTCCGACGGTAACAAGTTCTCGTGCAGACGAAACGCAGGCATCGATCGATTATGGGATTTCTTAGTTGGTTGCTTGGGCGAATTCTTTGGTGGCACGGAACGGGAGCTCCCTTTTTGGATTCTTTCGGAGGGCGTTCGGAAGCCCCGAGGAAATTACACGGTTCCGTGACGGTATCGTTCGGCCTAGAAGCTAGGGAATTTTCCGGTTGTTGTTACGAAACTTCACGGAAGCTCTGTATTTCGGTTCGGTCGATTTCCTCACGTGGCGGAGACCGAGGACAAAAAAGTCGGTCGATTCGTTCTCGATATATTTATAACTACGCGATTTTTCATCGGGAGCAAAATTAACCCTCTATAGGTAAAATTATGTTTGGCTTTTAACGAGATAGAAATTGAAAGGTGCATTTCAATGAACGCAACAACTGTTCCAATACTAGTTCGTTCTCCGAAGATGCAGATAATGGACGTACGATTTCAGGGTTGCACAAGGTTTAACGAAGTGTGGCGTCGCCTCCCACGCTCGCCACCAGAGGGGTCGCGCTCTCACAAGCGCTCGACCGACCCCTCAGTTGCTATACAGGGTGTTCGGTCAACCCTGGGAAAAATTGTAATGGGAGATTCTAGTGGTCAAAATAGGATGAAAAACAAGAATACCAATTTGTTGATAGTGGCTTCGTTAAAAAGTTATTAATATTTCAAGTTTCGCCCGTACTGAATTTTTTTCTCGAAAGTGGGCAGGATTTCGGGGGTATGCCTATTGACCAAAAATTATTGTAATTGACCCCCGCAACCGAACATAATTTTTTCCAGAACGATTTGGAATTTTTTTTTTTCGTGAAATATTTAGGCTACCTTTTGTCGATTTTTCTTAACAATTCGTTTTTCATTCTTAATAAATTTGTTTGACGCTATATAGAAATTTTGTTTTATACTTTTTTGTAGTTACCCACGAGCTCTATTTCAGAAAAAATTTTCACTGAAATATATTCACTATTGTAGGAGCTATGGTATTCTTTTCTTGAAAATGCGTAGGATTTCGGAGGTATGTCTATTGACCAAAAATTATTGTATTGAAAGTGGGTAGGATTTCGTGGATATGTGTATTCACCAAAAATAATTGTAATTGACCTCCGCACCCGAAAATAATTTTTTCAGAATGATTTGATATTGCTTAATTTAATTTGTTAATAACTTATTAACTTACTAACGAAGCCTCAGTCAAGAAATTGATATTCTTGATTTTCGTCTTATTTTGGCCCCCAGAGTAGCTCATGTAAATTTTTCCGAGGGGTGGCCGAACACCCTGTATATATTTAAAATTATTCAACCACGTGTTAATTATTCGACCACGTGTTGGTTATTCGAGCACGAGTTCGAAGATGACGCTTATACGAGTATCTCAACATTTCCAAAATAGAATCGCGCCTACAAATAGCTTCCTCGAATAAACATATAAGGTCGAAAATTTTAACGGCTATAAAATGAGCAACGCGATAATAATAATAATTGACAGATGGTGACGCTAAGAACAGACAAAACAGGAGTCACGAGAAAAATAACAGAAATGATACCGGTGAGAAAATTACTACGTCCACGTATAGTGTGCTGAGTAACGAAAATATAAAGGATAGCATGATACAATGTTCCCGGTGCAAAGTCCAAGTACAAGGTGTTTGCGCAGACGTTGATCAGAGGATAATTATCCACCGATGAGAAAAATGTGGAAAATGATTTCTAACAGATTCCTAACAGATTTCCAATTGCAAAAATCGTGCGATATTAATTGTGCGTTAGCTACGACCAATCAAACCGACGCACAGTGTGTCCAGCAATGGACAAAAGTCAACAAACTAAAGTCCATGTTTTATAAATTCTTATATCCCAAAATGTTAATAAAGGAACGTAGATTTCAGCACTATCCATAAGTTTTACTGAATGTTCCAATTTGTTGTGGAAAATGATGCCAGTTTATTGCAATTTTCGGTGTATTTTCTTAAACATGTGCCATTTACCGAAACTTTATGTTTTTAATTTGATATTTGCAAGTTGTGTACACTATTATAGTACCTTCCAAACTGCTAAACAATCTTTTTAGAATATTAACAATTGGTCCCAATTTTTTATGTTAAATGTTTAGGAACTTTGAATTGAGTTTAAAAAAAAATACCAAAAAATACCTCGATGATTTTTTGCATATTAATTTAGGGCACATTAAACGTTAATTCAACGCTAACTTTAGCTGCCCGAATTTGCCCGAAAGAGAGAAAATGATCAAAACCATTATTGCAATTACTGATACCTGCTCCGAATCAGAATCGGAATTAATCTAATAAAAAATGTTCTTTTATTTATTTACGAGATAAGAAATTCTATCTGTATCTATTTCATATTTTAATTAAAAAAATACAAAGGTATGATTTTCTTCCCGAACACCCATATACTCGAAATGATCGCTACGATATTTCAGGCACTTCCTCCAAGCCAATCAAAAAACTTTCCGAACAAAAGTTACACAGCATTCACTTGACAAGAAATTGCAATAGTAGAAAAAAGCAAAACAATTTTTATACAACAAAAAATCAAGATCGATTCAATTTTTTTTAACAAAAATGTATAATTTTTGTGCATCACTTGATGCATCTTTATATTCTCTTCAAAAAAGTGTAAGAGGTCTTAGGTCGAAAATTGACTAGTTTAGAAGCTATGAATTTTGTTCTGAATTCCCATTTACGCGACACACTGTGCGACGCGCGCGTAGGCGGAGCTATCCATTTAATAAAATATAATTTATCGTCGAATTCGACTAAAATCGTTTTAAATTTATCTCGCAATTCGTAAATTATTTTTACGGTCAAAAATCGCGAAGCTTTTAACTCGATCTTTTATCGCGTCTGACCCGAACGGGGACGCTTCTACTTGGACGATTTAACACGGGAGAATCAATCTTTTCCGAACTTTTTAACCGTTGCTCGCCCCACGACTGATTCCTTGGCCGTTTCACGATCGAAACAGTTGGGAGAAGAAATAATCCCAGCGGTCGACGAACTATGAAAGACACCCGGAAATCTCGTCGAAACGCCTGGAAATAGCTGGTTCGACCGTAACATCGATCGCTTTCTGTAAACATCGAAGACGATCGAGAACGACGACTGTAATATCTCCTTCATCTGTGGACAGTTTGAGCCGCTTAACCTGATATCAGCCAACAACACCGACGCTTTAACGCGATAACGATAACGCCCCGATACTCGAGTTGCACTATATTTATTTATAATGAGATCGCATTCCACGCGATTAACCAAAACGCACCAAGGATATTCAGATACGATCGATTTAATTTCTACCTTCTGGAAGACTTGTTTCTTTTAATTTAACGTACAAATATAAATAAATCTTCAAAGGTGTATCTGTACTTTTGATTTTTCTTGAAATTAGTTTTTTTTTAAGAGATTCGATCGTAAGTTTCTGGCGCAGCTTTATTACGCAAGAACGTCTTACATCATTTCGTACAACTACGCTAATAGAATTAACCATACGTATAGTAATTATCTTATCTTTAATTTGCAAAACTATCCTAATTAAACACAGTCCACAGCTACTTTCAAGATCTGATAAATGTTCGCGAGCTTAATTAATCGTAGACCTCGATAATACAGATTTTAGTGTTTGATTAGGATAAGCGTGCAAATACAGATAAGACAGTTATCTTTTAATTCCGACAGAGTGATTGTTCCGAATCCTGGCATGTTGCGTTAATTTACAAACTTGTCTAGATAAAGTAACTTACGATAATATGTTTGCTTTAACGCTAGAACAACCGAAGCAGCCAAAATGACCCATTCGTAATTTTTAATAAGACTTGTAAAAAATTTATTCGACTGAATTTTTGAAAGTTTATTGTAATTTTCTATAAGAGAATGAATATACATTTATTTCCTTTGCATCATATATTTTTTCAT